TCACTTCTAGTCTCATAACACTATTGACATGCAATCCTTATCTGAATGTGCAATGCTAACTGTACCTTTTATCTTAAGAATTTACATGGGTGGAGGTGATTAAAACCAAAGTAAAATGAAGGAGAGACAAATAGATGCTTAAAGGAAACTTAACATTGTCCTGCTTGTTACACTGTGCAGACACTGTCAAATTAAGGATACAGATGCAGACCTTTAATGGTTTGAAAATATGCTATACTCACCAGCCAAAATACTATCAAGGTTACCAAAGGTGTATTGTTTCTGCTTCCCAACAGCTGTTGAGTCCCTGTTTATTATCTGCAGAAGGTCTCTGAGGACTTGTTCACCTACAAAGTTTCACTGATTTAATTAGACAAATCAGTGTTTTCCACTTGTGTGGTGCCAGCGAGCTTGTATGCAATGTCCCCCTTCACAGCCAAGCAAATACTAAGGCTTGTAAGAGCAACGCTATCCAAATCCTAAATACTCTCACACCAGCTGACAGCTACCCCATGTTAAATGCAGCTTAAACCAGTGTGGAAGACTTGCTAACAGTCATGAATCTAGGAAGGAAGAGTCAACAGGCCAAGTAAAACAACAGCATTTACAATGACCCAACTACACAACACTCCAGAGGCTTCCTCAGCCCACTAACATGAGACAGAATTAGTGCTTCTCTTACCTGGTAATAGTAATCAACATACTGTGGCTCATAGTGTCGTGGACCAGAGTTTTCAGGAGACAGGACATCTTTTAGTAACTCTTCACAGCCTGGGAAACAGAAACGAGAGCAAATGGTCAGGCTGAGAGTTTATCTTCCCAGAGATTGCATGGACAATGGAGGAAGAAACACAGGTTTGTAGCTAATCTGTACGCCCGAAACCTTGAAACCTAGCTTTGGAATATGTTTAAATAGGTGTAACAAAGCTCTGCCTTCAAACTTCTGCACAGCACATATTCAGCATGTGGCACTTAAATAAGTGCAATTACACTAATGCTGACTCGCAGCCCAGATACCCTACACTGCAATGAAAGTGAAAGCTGAACATTGCTTGGCTTGGTAAACTATCCTGCGGGATAGAAACCCATCCCTGACCAACCCAAAACTCTGAAGTCAAACATTGGGTTCACAGGCTTGGCATGAGTCAGCGTCGATTGCACATTAGTGTCAGTGGAGCTGCTTCTGATTTTCCCTGGTCTAAGTGACAAAGGGGCAATACCTAAATGTCACAAATTCCCCTTCAAAAAGAGCTCTGTCACAGAGCATACAGTGTTTGGCAAGCAAGTATCTGTGCACTGCAACCAGAGATTTTCAGCTTCTGTGTTTGCTTTTGTTAACAACCACATTAACAGCTGGAAAAATCAATGTCTGCATTTCCCTCAGTCCTTCTCTCATCTGAAAACCTCAGACAAATATAGAAACACTGAAATCACCAAATGCCTCATTCCCCATTAATTACCAATGACCGCACTTGGCATGTTGAGCTGCAGAAGGCAGTAATATTAAGCCAGGTTATTTTAGAATAACCAGCTTACAGCCTTGGGCCTAAACTGTATGAAACCTTCTCAGCATGTGTTGTACGCTATCCTACTTGGAAGCTGCAATTACCCAGCAGTATTTCTCTCTTCTGTCCCATCACTAATGCAATACATTGGCTGTGATATTACACACAGATACTCATTCATGAGGCAGGTGAGCCAGAGGAAACAGAGTAATGTAAGAAAGTGTGAACTGCACGGGTTTATACTGTTAGCTGATCTTCTCTTTTGTTTTTAAAATAAAGGAATAAAATCTGTAGGGGTGAAGGTACCTTTGTGGTTATGGAGGGGAGTCCCTTACAAAGGAAATGAGTACTTAGAAGAACAGAAAAGGTGACCAGATGGAGGAAGCCTAATGTGGGAGATCAGTATGTTGTTCCTGTCTCCCACACACAGGCATGTGTCAGAGGCAGCACACGGTGGATGAAGCAACCATTAAGATCTCAGGAGTCTCATATGGACAACAGGCAGCAGGACTTTTCTCCCTCTTCCAGCTTCTGCAGCAAAGTGAGATTCTCAAATGGCACAGAAGGGAGACTAAATTAAGCTATTAATTGCACACTTCTGTGCATTTTTCACTTTGCTGGAGAAGTCAGTGGGCAAGAATGGTGTGTTAGGGTCACTTCTCAAAGAGGAGCTCACCTGGGAATAACAATCCAAAAAAATAATTTACTGGCTGATAGAGGCAAGATATTAAACTTGTTTGCCCAGAGAGGGCATCTTTCTACATAACTTGCCCTGCCTGTGGCTCTCACATTTCCCACCCAGCCAAGATCCTTTTCTTTCTCTTGGTTTTATCATTATGTGTGTCAGCCTGTGCTTGACTGAGGTTATTCTCTAGTCCTCTTACAGAGGAGAATTCAATTTACTGTTTGTACCTTTTGACATTAATAACCAAAGCTTATTACTCATGAAACTGCCTCATGCCAACCCCACTGTGAGAGTCTTTACACGTATGGACCGCTTACTTTGCTAAAAGGTCTCTGCATAATATGGAGCACCTAATCATTAAAGTGAGTTATCTCCAGCAAAAAAGAAAATAAATGCCAAGTGCTACCACAGTAATGGATGTAGATTAGTGCAATGAAGGATGTGTGTTCACACAGTTTTAAAAATTCCCAACAACAATATCTTCAGCCGTAATTTCAAGCCTTATTTTCCTAATTCAGTTGTACTAACAACAGTGCTTCTAGCTAAAGACCTCTAAGCAGTCAAACTTCATTTAAGCCTGTTAGGTGAGAACTTATCAGCTCCCCCAGCTTTTTTCTTTGGTGGGGAAAAGTCACAAAGGTTGTGGGTTTTCAAAGGTGCAAGAAGGATTTAACTGCCCAAAACAAGGGGAGTCAGAAACCTTTCTGCCTTGCCTCCTTTCGAAATGCCGGCTAGACTGGTCTGTTAGAGCTAGAGTCACAAATAGCTCCCACATCTCCAGGGTCTCAAATCTAGAGTTTAGCTGCAAGGTCTTGTGTGTCCCCTCTTTGCTGTTCAGTTCTTACCCAAGATTATTCCTGATCACATTCTTTCATTTTCCTTGTCCATTAAGGCGGACACCTTCATGATAGGCCTTGGCCATTTAAATTCAAGCCTATAATTCAGTAAAAACACTGGGGAGAAAAGCATTGCCTCCTTTTACCTAACTTACTTGGGGCAGCCCTCACTACTTCTTCATGAGAGCCACCTGGCACAGGCTTTTGTGTCCTGATCCAGAACCACAGAGGCTGATCAAGCATTTGACCCATTTCCAGAACATCACCAGGCATTTAATCCAATTTGTTTACCTAGCTGCATAGCTTAAAATGGCAAACAAAGCCAAATCTTGCTTTTATTGAAGTCACAGGCCAAGTTTCCATTGGCACTGACAGACTCAGGATGTAGGTTCATCTAAGACTATCTCCTGCAAAGGTGACTTTTTGGTGGGAAGATGTTTGAGTGTGCAGCAGCCAGTGTCCCCTGTGGGAGAGGTTTGCTTAGTGTGCAAGCTGGCATGACAGCTTGGATCTCTTCATCCTGCTGGGAAGATTTGCATGTTATTATACTCCATAAAAAAGGGAAGAAGAGAAGGAAATGCTTAGAGGCCATTTTCCTCTGAGATTACTAAAACACATCATTGCTACCTTGCAGACATCTGAACCTGTTCCAACATCCATCAAATGAATGGAAAGATGCCCACTGGCTTCAAGAATCTTAGGATTGTGCCACTGGTTTTATTCCTGTTAAGAACTGTGTTCAAAGAATACATTCTCTGTTGCTCTTTTTCCCTGTGAAGGCACAAATCAGAATCTCTTAACTCTGGAGGACTGTGGTGCTGGTCTTTTCTTTGGGCCACCCCTTATCACCAGGAAGGTGGGTTTTGGCACACTGTCAGGAAATGCATCAGCTTTCTTACTCGGTGTTTTTCTGCAACAGTGCTACTATATCTCACCTGTCAGTCCCCTTATCTAAATGATAATTTGAATTTTCCAGGTACTCCAAGAGGTTTACACAAGGGGCATAATATAAAGAGGGGACACTGGAGTGTCTCAAATACTGTGCATATGTCTTCTTACTACCAGAAAATATTTTGGCTTGCAGCCTGGGAAATGCCAGTGAGCTAAATTAGTGTGTCACAGTCCAGACAGAAAAGAAAGAAAAATCAAGGTTTACTCTGGCAAATCTCAATATGGAAATATTAAGGCACTGGACAACAATTTGTACAGAGAGCAGTCTAGTCTGGCACACATGGTGCTCTCTGCTACCACTACCACTCTTAAGAAGAAATATGCTTGCCTAGGCTTGCAGAACTGCCATGATGGATATTTCAAGCTGTGCAGCAGCATGCACCCAAGGCTAGAATCTGTCCATAAATAACCCACTGCAAATAAGCAAAGGAATACTTCCTGGCTACTTTAAGGACCTCCTGCACTAAGATGTCCCATTATTGCTATCACTTCATTTTCCAGGAAATGGTAAAACTGAAAGCTACTTACATGGCTGATTAGAAATATTTCATTTGGATGCCTACTTGTATCATAAGATATTAATGTGCTCAATGTTCTCTCTCCTTTGCTACGGTTAGGAAAATTTCCTCATCTACATTTTTGGGCAGCACTTGGCAAGGAGGCTTAGCTGCACTGCAATCGTAGTAAGGCAGTGGATAGAGGCAAAGAGCTAACCCAGGAATAGTTGCAAGTCCTTGTGTATTTACTGCTGCAGCTCCGCAAAAGGATGCCCTCTATGAAGGAGCACTCTGCTAAAGGGCTGTGCATTATATAAGTAATTGTGCAGGGTGACACAGATCAGGAACAATCTTGTATCTGGAGAAAAAATAACTATCAGGTCACAAAATGAGAATGGCCAGAAGCTGCTGAATTTTCTTCTCTGGCTAAAGACACCTGATGAGCCAGCACAGAGGCAGCTTCTCTGTGTCACTCAGAAGACCGTTTGACACATAGACATGTATCAGTTCTTGTTTAACAAAGCACTGAGTCACTCTCTAGGCTGATTTGTCAAAATTAGCTGAGTTAAAAACTCTTTATCCTAATATTAAAAATGCATAAGCAAACACAGTTCATTTGGCCAGAACTGGGTTAGGGAGTAGCACATGAGCTTGGAATTATTTGCACTTTGCAGGGCAAAGTGAAGTAAAATGGCAAGTGACCTGTCCCGGTCAGAAGTCTGCTGCAGAACAAGAATTCTAAGTAGCACCAAAACCACTAGGTGATTTATCCTTTCTTTTTGTGAAAATAGCCGGCTAAGATTTTTCCTTTCTTGAAAATACCTGGCTAAGACTCGTAAACTCTCAAAACACAGTGCTGGCTGTCCAGAGGCAGGACAGGATCATCTTTAGTCCTAAGCAAAGATGATGAAAGTGTTTTACAAGTCACTGAAGGGGGAAGACACGAACCTTTAACTTTTTCAGTTCACTCAGGATGCCAGACATGAATTCTCTTGCAAGATAATTTTACAAATTTACCTTCAGTTTCATTTAAAAAATATCGGTTTTCACACCCTAACAAACAGTCAATTTGCAAACAGACATTCTGGCCACAAATAAACACAATTGTGGGAAAGTGATTTCCTGCAAATGCTCCAAGAAGGAGATTTAACCCATACTGCATCAGGCAATTTTCACAGGCAATTAAGCAATTTTAATACTATAGGAAATCAAATCTGGTTACCTAATTGAATGTAGTTGGTTCCTGGCATTTTTCCTGAGAGCAGTAACTTTTTACTTTATCTACCCTTGCATCTTT